CATTGTGAAAAATAATGTGAATTAAATTAATGCCTATTTTTTCCCTTAAAACTAAAGATAAAATAACTCTGGTCCATATTTCTCTGTGTTAGAAACTTTAATTAGAAATACAGATGTTTAACTGAAAATTTCAATTTCATAATTAATCTGCTCTAAAATTGGGTGTTATAGTCAATGTTGCACTTAGGAAATGTTTTAAATATAAGTATGGACAAGACAAGAAACAGGTCAGATGACCTATTTCAAGGCTTCCTATTTGTCACCAAAAAGGTGCCAACCATATAATAAAGGGTTGCTCTGATTTTTTTTAAAAAAACTTTAATAATACAGAAGTTTTATTTTGAGCTAGTAACACTCACAATGGCTGTTTTGAACTCAATACATTTTGCAGTCCCCTAATTTAAAAAGGAATATTAAAATCCAAGTATGGTAAATACATAAATAACAATATCATTCATAAGTTAGCTGTTAGAATCTGACTTGTAATAAAGGAAACTTCCAAAAAAGAGCCAAGGAAGCATCTTTTGTGAAAAGAGTAACTTTCACTTTTCATGGACTACAACATCAACTGGGAATCCATCTTATGAAGAGAAAGTCTTCTCCATAAGTGGTGAGTCAGGGAACATATCCTAAAAGTGGTAAAGTTACTGTCTAATAACCATTATTGGACAATAAAAAGTCTATGCAATATTAATGTCTTTCCAAAACAATTAGCAGTCCTCCTTGCTCATTGTGGCATTCCAACCACCATCAAATCCTACAGGTTACTAATGGAAGCCGTTCTCAGACTATGCAACTATTGCTGGTAACTGTCAAATTCCCCAAGTAATACATTTCCTAAAAAAGAAACTAGCCCCATTTTTCCTTAATGGGGCTATGTTATAGGGGATTTCTCCATCATACAATTTTGATTTTTTTAAAAAAAAATTCTGTAGAACTATTCTGGGAGTCCAAAAGATACTCCCACATCCTTCCTCCTTGCAGAGTCCAGTATCTAATCTATTAAAACAAGTATTATAGTTAGAGTCTTTAAGTACTAGGATACGGTAATGTCCCATTCTTATTCCTGGTTACCCAAACTTTGATTATTAGAATAAATGACATAAATTCCAATGAAACATCTTCATTGGTTCACCACACTAAGGGGCCTCATTTATGCATGTGCATATGCAACAATTTTATTTATTTATTAAATTAATCAATCAATCTCTGCAGACTTTTAAGAACTGGGCATGTGGTATTTCTGCACAAGCTGATTTAAATTCAGTCAGTGACTACAAAGTTGCCCCTTGGTATGCAACAACAATAAAACAAAGTTGAATGTCAAGAATATTTGAAATTAATTACCATCCCTTCCCACTGATCAGCATTAACAAGACTATGGATGCAACAACTGGCATCAGCCATATGCAACGGTCAGTAGCTAAAAATTCCAGCAAGACTTTCCGTGTCAAGGGGACTGTCCAGAAGCCATCTCTCACTATCTGCTTTGCTGCCCAATTTACTCTGCTGCACACACCAAATACTTTGCACCTAGTCTGAAAAGGAAACTATACCGGCTAGATCCCCACAAGATTGAATTTTTATTGAAAACACAGAAGATGCCTGCCCTATGGAGATTGGAAGGTTTTGCTAAGCTGCAGCTGAACAATGTAAACACCTCCTCCTTAGCTTTATTTACTGAACATGATTTTGTTATTTTAACTTTTTTTAAGGGCTATAGCCTGATTTTATATAACTTTAAATTTTGCTTACTGTTTTATTGCATATTTGATAAATGTATATGATATTATCATCTAAAATTTACAATAAACTTTATCTAATGATCTTGAACTTGACAATGTTTCAGTAAACCTAGATCAGACCTTTATTAATTCAAACACTGTGTTACCTGCATTTATATCAGAGAATCACAAGCAGCAGAATAGGACTTGCTTACTATAAAAAACAGAACAGCCATTTACAATGTGTAATGAATGCTTTTAGGAATTCAACTGTGATGAACCTCCCAAATCCTAGATATAGTAGGCATGTACTCCAAGCCATCTACTGGCTGACTGATAGATAAAACAGGCTTCAATTGAGTTTCTACTCATAAATACTCCATTTATGGTAGGATTGCACCATTCTCTGTATGAAGATACATTGTTGCGTACCTCAAATGTCCAACTGCTTTTGTTCGCACAAGTGAAAGGATGATGTAATCATTTTGCTGGCCTTGAAACCTATCCACAGTTGTCACCTAGCAGAAAAAGAGAGAAGGTTAATTCATTGCTAATTCAACCCCCTCCCCTAATTAAACAAATCAGCCTATGGAGTTAATGGTATCAAAAGAAAACAACTGTTCTATTAGGATGACAAGCTGACAGCAGTAAAAAAAAAACTATTTTTATAAGAAGTATCCACTTATTGATCTAAGCACTCCCACCCTCTATAATGTACTATATGACCCCATGTTGAGCGAGGGTGAATAAAACCCCCTTGGATTGTGTGGGCCTCTTTCTTTTTTCCATTCCAGTCCAGTTTCCATTGACTTAGCTATCTTGTATTCTTTTTGTTTCTTATTGTATTTTTTAAAATAGTTTTACTTGTGAGTCACCCAGAGTCATTTGGAGTCAGGCGGCATACAAATCAAATCAAATCAAATCAATTTTTTTTTCTTCAGGAGGGTCAGGGTCAGTTTTCATCTATTCCTTATTTTGCAGTGGCCACATTTGCCTTCATGCTTTTCACTAACTGAGAACTAACTCTCACATTCTCCTTGGGGATTTATTATTTTTCAACAAACTGGGAACATTATTTTCTTTTGAAATGCAAACTTGTGCTTTTTCTATACAGAACTGGATAAAGATTTGTATACACATCTAATATCTCATAATACAGTTTGTTATATTATTTCCTACAACTTACCAACTAGAAGGCTAAATTAAAGTGTAGTTAAACTAAAGTAGACAGGAAAACCCATGAATGACTTCAATTTTACAAACTATCCAATCTGCAAGCAACATTCAGTATCATGAATGCACTCTAGATACTGGTTACTTGCTTTGCACTTTTGTTGAGACATGCAACCGATTATTATTTGGAATGTTACCTTATTTGGTCTTCCAATCATTGGGTTATTCCCACAACGTTGATTTATGATATCCCGAATCAGGTGTTTTTGCCCATTGTAAGTTGTCAAGATGCTTATCTTTTCTGCAGGGTATCCTAGCAGGCACATGTACATGAACAGCGCAACAACATATTCTGCCTCACCAAGATTCTGGAAAGTTTAAAAAACAAGTACAATTCTGTTTCATGTGTTGGATCATAGAATATTCATATAATTAAGGTCAAGGAAAATGACTCCAAGCCTTACTGAAAAGAAGCAACACGCACCAGGCCTACCTGATCTGCCTTGGAAAGGCAAAGAACTCTACTTCCTATTGAGGAGGAGCCAAATTGACTTGATCCACCAATGGGTGGGGGTGGGGGGGACTTCTATGCAAGCATATAAAACTATAAACATACAAGATGTCACTCTGCTCTTTTAAAAGCAAGGTGTCACTTTGTGGAATTACTTTAAGAAGCTTTAACAAATACAACTTGGGGGGAAAAAAGCCAGATTCCAGTCTATTGTTCTCCTAATAGTAAACATAATTGTTTATTCTCCTCCAAGGAAGAAAGTAAGTTTAAATTCTAATGTTACTTGTATATTCTAATTGATAAGTTGCTTATTTTATATAAATGCACATGCATATTTCAGCAGTAGACTGTCTCCAAAAAGATTAGTTTAAGCAATTATCATTTGGATCACTGTACAAATACCAAGTGGTAGTAACTATTACAATTCAGACATCTACTTATAAGAATTATTTCTGTATTCAAAAGGAGAGAAAACTATGGGTATTTTAAACATTTCTTACCTGATAGAAATAAGGATTGGGTTCAGATTCTCCTACACCATGGAAATCCTCTACATTTATAAGCTGGAAGTCATACAAAAACCCAGCATTTGCTGTTCTGAATTCAGGCAGGAGTTGTACATGTGGCAAGTTACCCAGGGTCTTGTATCGCCAATTATAGAGATTACATAAGCTTTACGAAAAATATAATGGAAGCAGTAATTAACTCAATACAATCCTTATAACAATGTATTTCTTTACTATTCTCAATGTCTGTAATAGTCTGTAATAGATGTAACAAAATCTCAACAGATGATAGCTACCTCTCTGGACTGTATCAAGCAGCAAGCTGACAAGGCATGTTGCAGGATCTCAAGAAGGTAGTTCTACATTCTAAGTAGATATATTTATATATTTTATATATTAATTAAGAAAAGTTATTTTCAATGTTTGAAAGGAGCCTTAAAAATTAGAACTAATCCTATAATGTTACATTCAGGCTGCACAGAACGTCATTTAGCACAATCCACAGAATAATTCTCTTTTTTCAGCATTACAAATTGATGGAGTATAATTTATGAACCAAAAAGGCATGTTGGCCTTCTTAAATTAGTTCAATAAACTCAACATTACAAACATTCTTAATCTACTAAATTACTTAATATTCAATTTATGAAAAATGTTTTTGAACAAATTAATTCCTATCATTTGCATATTAAAGGTCAGTTATTTATTTACTTAGTTTTGTATGTACTCAGTTCCAAATGCTTCTGGGTAGCTTTCATGAAGCAACAAAAACCAGAATCATAATAATCACAACAACATTCTCTAATGGCACCATCCAATCAAGCTGGATGTGGTCAAACATGAGATGACAAGATTGAACATCGACATCTTGGGAATCAG